GCTAGAAACCAGAAGACTGAGTTCTAGTCCCTTCTTAGGGACAAAGCCAACTGAGTGACCTTGGGCCAGTCATTCTCTCTCAGCCCTAGGAAGCAGGCAATGGCAAACCACTTCCAAAAAACCTTGCCAAGAAAACTGCAAGGACTTGTCCAGGCAGTCGTCAGGAGTCAAGGCACATACACACAAAGAAGGGAGCAGAGCTTTTTTTAGTTTCCCAAAAGGGGACTCTTTCGCCAGGTAATTTAAAATTGTGTGTTGCCAGAATCATTGCTAAGGAGATCTGAGTGAGAGGTTAACTAGTGGGTTGAATATACTGTAAGAACAAGTTCTATATTGTGTCAAACATTAAATAATCCTACCTGGTATAAAACTGTTCAGTCCCCACCACCCGCACCCAAAGGTGTAAAAAAGAGTGATTCTGATAGTTTCTCACTTTACACATATCTGACACAAACATGAAGTAATGATTTTTCTCATGCAACTAAGAAATTTCCCTTCACAATTTACAAGTAGTAGGGTGTTATATTAGAGGTTTTACAAGAATTTTCCAGAAATGGAAAGCTTTCTAATGCAAGTGAGTTTGCAAAATCAGATTTTGATGGCTGTTATTTTTAAAATGAGAATTGCTGTTTATCTTCCTTATATAAGAAGCTGGCTTTTTTCCCCCCCAGATACTGCTACTTGTATAAGAAGCTGGCTCCCCCCCCTCCCCGATACTGCTACATAGAGCAACAATTTCAGTAAAATTTAAAGCTGTTGATTAAATAACACTGCAAGAACAAAATGTAAATGTAAGTTCATCAACAAGGTGGCCCTTCGTGGACATGGGCATCTGCAGGGGGTTTGTGACAACCAAGTGTCATGACTTCATCATGCAAATGATGCAAATTAGATACATTAGGTCATTTAAGTCACATAATTCATATCACCAGTACAATGAGGTTGTGATGCACATAACATCCACATGGCTTCTACCAATAGTCTAAGTTAGCCTGTGATTGCTTACCTAGACTTTCCAAGCTCTTAATAATACAGGTAGTTCTCATGTAGCAACCACAATTGGGACTGGCAACTCAGTTGTTAAGCAAAGCAGTTGCTAAGTGAAACCATGACTGTGCTTATGATCTTATTTTAGCCTTCCTTTGCTTTACAGACCTGCAAAGGTTGTAAATGCGAGGAGTAGTGATAAAGTTACTTTTATCACCAACGTAACTGTGAGCGGTCACTAAATGAGGCAGTTACTAAATGAGGACTACCTGTAGATCCCTTCTGGGTCATATGAATGGAAGGCTTAGAACAGAGGAGTTGACAGCATCCCAAGCCATTGTCCAAGTGCTTCTCCTGTAAGGATGCACTGGGGATTTTTTTCCCCCACGCCTCCTGGCCAATTCCATCTTATTTTCAAACTTGTTGCTGACTTATTCCTCCACACCAAATTTGATCCTGTTCTGTTCAGTTTTCAGAGAATTACTATGCTGGCTTACAGAGTTCTGACCCCCTTTACATAATTCCTTTCCAATACTCTGTGGACTCTGGAAAGAATAAGCAGCATGACTAAGCACTACGCTTCCATCCTGTCTGTGTTTAAAAGACAAATCAGACAGAACATGGACTACATGAGGAAGACGTCATTGTCCAAGCTGCAGCTGAAAACTGGCTGAGGGCTGACTTTACTACAATGTGATAAGATGCTGAAAAGGCCCATCAAACTCTCTCAGATGAGGAACTATTCCAGGCAAAGGAGCATATCCACTATGGAACAACATTTTGTACAGATGTATAAAAGAAGATGATCAACAACTATAGGAATTCAAATATGTCAATGACATATTTGTCATTCTAAAAGAAAGCCAAACTGAAAGCACTCTTCAAAAGTTTAACTCCATATGCCCAGGGATGAAATTCACCAGAGACAGAGAAAGAGAACAAACTCCCATTCCTGGACTTCCTCATCACTACATTGTATGATGGCAAGCTGCAAAACCAAGTATACTGGAAACCCACCCCCATGGACCACATCTGAAACTTCAACAGCAACACCCCACCACACATAAAATCAGCTGCACAAGACTCCTCATCAACCAATCCAAAACACATTGCAGCTCAGTAGTACTGAGAAAAGCAGAATTCAACTACCTCCACAGTATATTCAATGAGAACAACTCCCCCTGCCTTTCCCCAAAATTTCATTTAAAAAAATCCACCAGGAAACAAAGAACTGAAAGATGCCCCAAGAACCACAATGATATTCCCATACAAAGGGAATATTACAAAACATGGCAGCAGATTGCTCCAGCCACTAGGCATCACTGTGGCCCACAAACCCACAAAAACTCTACAAAGAATCCTGCGTAAACCAAAAGTCTATACATCCCACCAATGTCATATACAGAATAAACTCTGGGTTGCAGCCAGCTATACCCTAGGACAGATGCAATGCCAACTATACCAAAGAACACATAATTGCACAAAGAACCAAGACTAGACCAGACGTACCTAACAGCCACCCATGCCCTCAGAATGAACCACACATTTTAGGAAAAATACAGACATAATTGACCATGCAGACTGCAGAAAAGCCAGAAATTTCCTAGAAACCTGCCACTCAAATAAAGGAACCATCAACAGATCAATGGAACTGGATACAATCTACCACCTCATCCAGCACCTGATTCAAGCTATACACAACAGACTGACGAGATGGACCGTTTAAAATAGAGTTACATGATTCCAACCACCAATTAGCCAATACTTTCCCAAAAGCATCCAATCATTAACCAACCCCACAGAATTCAAATTCTACATGCACAAATACTGCAAGGTGATCCCCACTTCTGACCCTTTGCACTGAGGAAGCCTTGCTGGATGTGAGGCAAGCATCTGCAAAAAATGTGATCTGTGCTTTGGTATTGATCTCCCTCAGTCAGGAGAACCTCAACTAAAGTTTGTACAACAAATCTGATCTACTATTATCCCATGAAATCCTATAAGAATTCAAACATAATTTTAGGAATTAACATAGAATGAAGATCAGAAAGGCCGTGGAAGACTTTTTAAAACCAAATATGATAGTTAAACTACGAATGAAACTAGGAAGTGATCTTGTTTACTCTCAGATCATCCTAGTGTCCTAGTCCATATTCTGCATGAAAATAGATAGTATTCTGTTACAGAGAATAGATTGCAATAATTCTCTCTTGCAGTAATTCTGAATTTGAAATTAGGTCATAATTTGAATCTATTAGGTTCAAAATTCCTGAATCCATAATGAATCTTGACTTCATTCCAGCTTTGTTATTTTTTAAAATTTAACCCAAGATTAACTACAAGTAAATTTATATTTTTTATACACACACTTTCTATAGGATTAAGAATCCCACCATATTTGTATACACAATGTTGATTGTGGTAAACAAAGCAAAAAATGTATCCTGATTCATTACGCCATGATGCACAGGGAGGATAAGGATACTGTATTAATGCTCAGCTTCCACACTACATTCATTTTGGCAATAAGTATGGACCAACATTTAAAAATAATTCAAGAAATTGTAATAACATTTTTTTTTTTTAAATCCAAATGCAGAACATTGATTCAATGAGTGAATTATGATGAAGCCAGTCTGCTCATTTCTAATGACCTTTCAGGAGTGGGTACAGATATTTAATATTCCCATTTTGTTGATGGGGCACTGAGGGTCAAAAACAGTGCCCTGGGAAGATACAGAAAACAAAGACTATAAAGCTATTTGCCAGCTAAAATGTCATAAATTGAATAACCATCATAATCTAATTCTACAGATCTTGATAAATGTAATTGGAGATTTTTTACATTTACACCAGGTTGGGAACATATTGTTCTAGAGAAAATCTATCTATGTGGTTGCTAAAAGTTGACACGAACTTGATGGCATATAATCAATACTAGGGCCAGTCAAACTTTAGGTGGCTAGGAACCATTTTTTAAAAAACCTTTTTCCAGCTGTTGAGTAGAAAAGAGGCTGATGTTTTTGGTGGGTGGGGAAGTGGGGAAATTGCATTAATCTTTTTTTCCCCTAAAAGAAAAAAATGCCACAATGATTCATCATTTGACATAAGATTTTAAGGATTTAACTATAGTTATGCACTTTGGGGGCTATGAAAAAGCTGGCAGGGATGTCACATGAAGTCCATCAGTTGCCTATAAATTTGTCAGATACAAAAATGTCCAGATAAGCAAAGGATTCATATCATGAAAGGATGGGTAACCAGTGGGCTTCATGTGGCCCTGCAGCCCTCCAGCACTCCGAGAACTATCTGATGGAATTTGGTCACAAAATAGTCAACTTTTAGCAATATAAGGGGGGGGGGGTGATTTTAAAGAATGGCTTTTGTCTTGGAGGTCTTCTACTCTCCTCTAATATGAAAACCTCAGGGAAAAAAAAAGGCTGGAAAACATCTATACTGGCCACTTAGTATAATAGGACAGTGGCCTATCTACTAATCCTATGCAGAGACTTAAACATACTCAGCTCTGAATAGGAGTCCTACACAACATGCTCTACTGGGCAAGTTAAAGACCTAGCATCTGCACAACATGCTGAGCTTTAACCTTACTACCATTATTTTTTGAGAATCACCAGGTTGGAAGGCGGGTTGTTTAGTTAGTTTATAATTCAATGTATTGTGCAAACACAGAAAATGGTTTAATTCAATAAACCAATTAAGCATGTTGTGTGAACCTAGTTTATTGCTGAAGATCTGTTTCAATGCTGTTCTTGTTAGGAATAATAATGTTTTGATAAGTACAGAAATTGGTGGGGTTTGAAATCCATTAGTTCCTTTTCAAGAATTAGCCAGATACATTATAACTGCATTATTACACTGCTAATGGGCAAAGGCTTTCCTCTGAATACTACTTTCTTCCATAAAATTTCCCAAGTAGGATTACATTTACAGAATCAATGATGCATACCTGGTTGGTCAAAAGAACCATAACTGGAAGCCAAACTATTTCCTACCTCCAATCTGTCCGTCCGCATTAGCTTCTGTGCTGCTGCTGCTGCAGCAGCAGGAACTGGCACACCAGGATTCCCTGCAACCAGCATTGGTGCTGTTGGCAAGATCTCTGCTGGGACCAAGCCAGGAGAAACTGGCCCCAAATAGGGGTTAAAGGCTGTTGAAGCATTGGTGGCTAGACTTGGTGCAACTGAAAACATTGGCTGGAAAAAGAGAGAGAGAAAGAGAGAGAAAGAGAGTCAAATGTAAATACTAATCCCCAAAAGCTTTGTACATAAAATCATTTTGAATAATGCATCATTTGTGCATGCAGACAGTGATAGCAACTGACCCTCTCACAAATGGACGAAGCTTCCTGTTCAAGGAAGGTATTTGAACCAGCAACAGATCTGAGCAAATGTAAGGGAAGGACATAAAGTTTGCACGCTTCCCCTGTTCTGGACAATCAGTCACTTCTCCACAGCAGGTATGAAAGAACTGGTGCAGAAAGGGGCAATCAGAAGGGCCAGCCTTCTTCCATTGGCGAAGGCATCCCGCAAGGAACTCATCCCAAGGCAGGTGAGAACTCAGAATCTATGCTCTTGGGCCTTCCATTGGAATAACCTACAATACTTGTATGATTCCTGCTGCTATAATTTTAATGTTTATCCTAAAGCTATGTTAACATTTGCCTTTCAAATTCTCAAATTCTTTTCCTCTGTGAAAAGAGTTTTTTGTCTTTCTACCTTATTCTTAGAGTGCTTCAGAATTTTATCTGAATTTCTCCTGGTGATGCTTTTCAGCTTTACTTTTGAAAATGTTAGAAGGTATTACAGTTGTTGCTGTTAGACTTCTTTTCATCCCTCTCAAGTCTCCCTGGCAGCTCACACTTTCCAATCAGTAAAAGCCCAGTTGGAGAAGATTCCTCCTAATGCTTTGTCTTTATCTAATAGAAGTGTGAGATGCTAGGGCAACAGTACAACAAGAAACAAAAAACATTTATATGCATCATTTGAACTCTGAGTATTTTAAAGCAAGAACACAACTTTTTACCTATAAGAATTTTTAAAATTTTTCTTTTCCTTTCTTCTCCATCAAACTGAATAGGACATGATATGAAAAAGGCAGGATAATTTCCAATATGGCACTAATTTCTTTAGCCTCAACTGTATGATGTACAAGAGAAAGATAACACTCATTTCTTGTTTAGCCTTCAGATACACTAATCAGTAGCCAATTCATGAAGCCAGTGACTACTGGGCAGGCACCATTTATATTACAGTGATAAAGGAACACCATTTTTATTCTTTTCACATAGCAATTTAATTGTAGGGTACACATATGTTCTTAATATGGTATCTCTCAAAAGGTGTTTTCTTTTACAAGTGCTATTTATATTATTTCTATGTAACCTCATACTGAAGTAAAATACAATTAAAATTGTCATTATTAACAGTGTTGTAAAGGATAAGTAAAGCCATATGAAGTTGCTGTATACTGTATACATTTAGGCCATTACTAATGTTCTAATTGGCAATCTTAAAGCCAGAGAGAGCACAGTAAAGAGAAACAAGAGATTTTCTTTTCCAGTCTCTTCTCTACTCAAACTGGGTAGATAATCTATTGTAGCAATTAGAAGAATTTAATCATTTACTGATTTAATTTATATCCCACCTTTATATCCAAGTCAGATTATCGAAGTGGCTTACAAGTCTCTCACACACAATACAAGGTGAAAATAGTTCAAATGATTTGGATAATTTATAAAAGCAGAGACCGACAAGATTTAGCTCACAAGGGAGTGTGCATTCCAAAGTTTGGGTGATTACAAAGGAAGTTTAACCTTTGCCCTCCTGCTTGATTTTGACTTGGCCCCTGCATTTCATTACCAAAAAGTGATCCAGCACAAGTCTCAAAACACTCTGGCTGGCATGGTAGGCTCCCTATTAGCCTTCCTGTACCTACTCTAGCGCAACTGATCTGGTGTTCTCTAGACGTATTAGAGCTCTATTCCCACAAACCCCAGCTAATTCCTGAGGATTATGGCATCTGAATTCAAATGCATCTGGGGAGAGCTAGATTCAACAGGCTGCTCTGCAGTTAAAAATAAAGCGGAAAGAAGGACAAACTTCTAACCACATCTTTGAAGTAACTTAAGTTTGGTTCTAAGATTTTCTGTTTTCTAAGATTTTAAACTAACTTGTAGCTTAGCCCTAGGGTTGGCAGACCAAGTTTTTCTTGGTCTATTTTTCTCTGGTTAGTTTTGCATGATTCTTTATTAAGTTTTTTTTTACCCTCTTTCCAGATTTAAAAAAAAAATCTACATGAAAATTATGTATGTATACACATAGATGCATGGGCACACAAACACCCACTATATATTTTGTGCTGAAAGCTACAGAATCTTGCCAAATTCAAATCCCCCTCCCCCCCAAAAAGTAAATTTCAGTCTTCATACTGGTATTGGAGTATCAGATGAGCTCACTAGGAAATGCAAAGTTTATAAGATCCCTGAACAGTCCTACATCCATTCCCTCATCTTCTGAATATGCTAGGATTGATCAAATGATTGCTACTACTGACAACTCAATAAATAAATGCTGGTGTATCTTTTACCCTTAGAAATAATCAGAACTAATCTCTGAAGAAATGTATGAGTGGACTATAGTTCATATGGAAGATCCCACAGCAAAGGAGCTATTAAGAACTAAATGCTATGCTGTGCTCCTAGAGAAAACAAATGAGAGCAAATAAAGCCTATGTTTTGTGAGAACCTGACTGCCCAGTCCAAAATGTTTTCTGAAAGTTAATAATTGTTTATCTCCTTAACATGCCCAGCATTCTTGGCAATCTCATCTCCTTCCCACTCCTATTAGTGAAACATTACTGCCTTATGACAAATCATTCTGCAAGGCAACAGGAAATCTCTGACTAGTATGTCCAAGAGCTGATAGTCAAGGGGGTTTACTACTACTGCCATGATCATAGCATCTGCAGTTTTGACAAACAATGACAAGTTACAATATTTTATTTAATGGGAGAAAAAGAGGATCAGGGTAACTCGGTAGCAGTTGATGTGGATTAGAGAATTTGATCTGAGTTACTGATTGGCTTTTTAAAAAGGGGTCCAAAAAAATCAACTGTTTACTTCAACTGAAGTCCCTAACATTTGGATCTTTATACATAACTTCCCATTTGCATGAATTAAATGCAATTTTATATTGATTGGTATAAGAGTTATGTTAGACACATTTCTTCACTGTAAAGTCTTTTGTTTTCAGCTCTTTAACGAACTCTCAGCATGTGCTTCTTGGACATGTCTTTCTGGAAAGATTCTGTGGACTCTTTTTTTTAAGAGAAATCAATGGGATACTCCCAAATTCCATCTAGGCCAGAGGTCCACACTGCAGCATGTTCTGCTTTATGGAATGTGCCCTTTCTCATGAATATAAGGTCATCGTGGCTTTCTTTTCCATCCCTAGCTCTCAGTTTTGTGGATTGACAGAGTGCCCACTTTAAAACCTGAATGTATGTCTGGCTTATTCTGCTGCTCTCCACCTTGTGAAGTTTGTCTCCCTTCACCAAACTCTCTTCTTGGATTTGCCTGCTGTTGAAAGATGCATTTCTAATTAAGAACAAACTGCTTCCTCCTCCCATCCTCTTACTCATTTTCTTTCCTGTCCAGGGAGGATGAAAAGAAAACAAGTATACTAACAGAGAAAGAAAGAGAGGGTGCAAGGAAAGAAGAGATTTCCAGAGTGCACTTCTGTAGAGGAAATAGTTGTCTATGCAAGACTTCTTCCTGCTAGTGAAAACAATTTTTTCTTGGGCTGTGCTCAGGCACAGCACCTGCCTAAAATAAAAATGTAAATATTTTAAATTCAATTTTATAAGGAAGTGAGTAATTTGTAAAAAAAAAAAAAAGATACTGGGCAAGACCTTTGGAACACAATAACTTTCCTTGGACTGATATCCCCAAGATGTAGTACAACTATAGCTTAACCCATTTGGAAAGCAGTATGTTGCAGAAGGCTGGAGTAATGAACTGTATGGAAGTGACCACACTTGTAAAGATACTTATTGGGCCAATAAAGCCTTTGCTTTGACTGAAGAGAAAGGAGCTGAGATTTACTATTTTGCGGAAAGAAAAGGGCACTCTGTTTTCCTCAGAAGCACTTTTATGCGTTCCTGGTGACTAGTATTAAAGATTATTACCTACCAAGGCTAATTTGTAGATCCCTGAATGTACGTAGGAAACACTCTATTACAAAATCTAACCACCAAATATTCAAAAAGGGCTATTAGCTAAAAAAAAAAAAAGTATTTTTCACATTAGCTGATTTCTGACTTCAACACAAACCAATACCGAAAGATGGAAAGCTAAGTAATCAAATAGAAGTATTCAGGCAGGGCTTATATGTAGTAATATATTCAGCTAGGACCTACATATAGTAATAGCAATTTGTTATTTATGTTTTTACATTTATTTCCCACCTTTGTTTTGTACAACTGAAGTCAGCATTCATAATGCTCCTGTCTCCTGTAGTAACAGCCTAAATTTCAGTAGGAAAGGCTGAAAGCCTTTATTATTAGGCTTATCCTAATAATTATCCTCATTATTCCTCCTGTCCTTTGGGAGTACTGGGTAATATATGTAATGCTCCTTTTTCCAATTTTTTCCTATAATATAAATAATCAGTGGTCTTGATTGACTTGAGAGATAAACAGACCCAAGGTTCCAGGGCTGAGTAGATTGGATCCTCCTATTCCAATAACCTATTCATGAAAATACAGATTCAGAAACTAAAGCTATGGAGAGACCAACACTTTTTAAAAATTCCTAATGAGAAGTTTTTAAAGCAAGTTGAAGGAATTCCTATTTTCCCATCTATGCATTGGAAGCAAGAGCTCTGGTTCTGCAAGTTCTATGATCCAGCTCAAGTTGCTGCAACTTGGGGCCTGCACTACTGCATACAAGATAAGTGTACAGTACGTGATGTTATGATTACTCTCCCTCCCTTTGAGAATAAAATCAGTCCAATGACTAGCATAAAGAAAGAGGTTTATGCATTTATTTGGGGTGGTGGTGGTAAGTCAACATTTAAATAACCTGACAGAAAGTATTTGTAGTAGTACAGAATATGAATGGAAATAATCCAACCACATTAGCATCATTTTCCTTTCCTGCACTGCAGGATACTTAATATTTTAAGCATCATTGCTCTGTGGTCTACAGTCAGATGGACTGAGCAAGAGTGAGAAAATTAACATGCTGTTAAAATGCAGCAAAAGAAAGAAACATTCATTCCAATGACTGCTGAGTCACTGTGTACTTAGTGACCAATGAATGTCCTTGATTCCCTTTTCACAATGCAGAGTCATCCTGCTTCATTTTGCACAATGCTCCTCATGTATGAAGGATAATTTGGGGTTGGTTTTCCCAGGTGCAATTTAACCAAGAAGAACCCCCTCTTATTTAATTGTGGAGATTGAGGGAAGACAAAACAGAGAAATCAAACTGTTTTACATAAATGCCTACAAGCAGCTAGTGTACTATGAGAGTGTTCTAAGAAATACAATGCAGTTGTGGTCCATTCATCATTGGAAGAGAATGGGGCACAATTTTTCACTTGTCCCCAGTCTCCTGGACAAAGACCCAGGTGAATTATCAGGTTTCCATAGCTATTTAATACAAACCTGTCCAGATATCAGTATTAATAGGTGATCCCCTCTTTAAGACATCCTTGCTTTTGGACATCTGTTTGTTTTGGGCACACAAGAGAGCCTTCTCAACATTGCTTCCAGCTGTGGAATGCAGAGCATTGGGAGTTCAGCATAGCTCCCAAGGTCATGCATTTTAGAAAATGCATGACCTGCTTCAGATACCTAAGCATGAAATGAATGTTCTTTGTTTCATTTGCTGCCCACCATACAATTTGTATGGCAAAGCTCTGTTTACTGTCCCTAACATTATTCACTTTAGTCGGACTTAGTGAAAAGGGGCAGGCGTACTCATACAACCCAGGTGGGTTTGTGGGCTATGCAGGGTAGGCAAAGCTGAAAGAGCTTATACTACTTCATTATTCCTCCTGTCCTTCGGGAGTACTGGGTAATATATGTAATACTCCTTTTTCCAATTTTTTCCTATAATAAAGTGAATGCCGCTTTTGTTTACGATTCTTCATAAACTGAATGAGAAAAGTAATGAATAGATTTTAAAAGAATTATATGATGTTAATTTGTGTGTGGGCACGTGCTTTTGAGTCATTCTTGACTTCTAGCAACTACCTGGAAAAGTCCCTGCAGGGTTTTTTTGGAAAGTTTTTCGGAAGTGCTTTGCCACTGCCTCCTTCCTAGAGCTGAGAGAGAGTGACTGGCCCAAAGTCCCCCAGCTGGCTTCATACCTAAGGTGCGACTAGAACCCACAGCCTCCCAACTTCCAGGCTGGTATTTTAAACCACTACACCAAACTGTCTCTCATATAATGTAATACAGTAAGCAAATAACTAAGGACATTACATTTTTTATGTTTATGTTCTTTTTGGAATGGGTGCCATACAAACTAATTAAATCAATGTTAAAATTGTAGAATCCAATGGATTAAGGTAATTTCCTTTTGTATCATAGGTTTAATTCATGTTACTGACTTTCTACACAAAGGTACTGCAGTACACAATATGGAAGAAGATAAGATAAAATGTACATTTGTGTGTTTCACTTAAAAGAACATGACCTTTTCAACATTCTAAAAACAATTTTAAGCACTGTTGGCTTTACGGTGCAAAGATGTGTCCCTTCTCAGTTTATAATCCAATTGGCTCAAGCTTAGTTTCTGACTCTCATGAAACAGTAATTGTATTGGATGTTATCACCTCAGAATGTATATGAGGGGTTAATTTATGTAAGAGAACCTCTGCTTCAAAATTCCTGCCTGGCAGAAAGCTTTCATGTCAAGTTCAGCAGAAGTTTGTGTAGGCATTGGTTTCTTTCAAAACAAGAAATCCTTCCATTTATGTTAAATGAAAGTGAAAAATTCTGCATCTCTGGGCTAAAAAAAAAAGTCAGACAGGAAGAATGAAGATTACCTATCACCAATGAAATCCCACAGGACCAGTTTGAAATGGTGATGTGGTTTAAACGGCATCTATGTATCTTAGGATAAGAGAATCTATGTTCATGTCATGGGAAAGTTTGCTTAAGATCTGGTGTTTTCTCTTCCATCAAGAGGAACTTACATCTTTGTGGGCTGAGATGTGAAAATACTGTTTCTTCTTCACACTTCTCCTTTTACATGAATAGAATGAATCAAAAGCTAAAGGCCTGTCAGGAGACAGGCAAGTCACACAAGCAGGTATACCCTCAGCTCTCAAAATAACATCCTGATCCTACATAAATCTATCAACTTCTCAACACCAAGAAGGGGGAAGAGCTTTTAGAGAGTCAGACACCATCATTCAAGTATCCCTTTCATGCTTATTTTAAATGTCAGAAACCCAGTGCTTCCAGAGGTAGCAAACAGGAGAAAAAGTGATACAAAGAATGAGTCTAAGTGTTCACTACAGGTAACAGCCACTTGGAGACATCCAAGTCATACAGAAGGACAAGATTTTGCAAATCAAAAACATAAGGAAGGGAACATGCCGTGCTGCTTCTTCTCAGTCCCAAGGTAAATCCAGATAATTGCTCTTGAAGCTTTTCCCAATCTAGCCAGATGTATTGCGATTATAGGGCAAATCCCATGATTCCCAGATGTATTGGATCTGTAGTCCCAATACATTTAGAGCAGTGTTGTCCAAACTTGGCCACTTCTGGGAGTTGAAGTCCACTCATCTTAAAGTGGCCAAGTTTGGACAACACTGATTTAGAGGCTACTAGGTTAGAAAAAAACGGTATTTCCTTTCCATTTCATCTTTTCATGTCCTGTAGCAATTTTGTTTATGCATTTCTGGATGCAGGAATACCTTCCCCCTAAAATGATGATCTCTGACTTTACTTTGTGGTATTGAGAAACAATTTTATGCACTACCAATGCATTTAATTCAGTTTATAGAAAAGGGAAAGAAAGCAAAACCCCTGATAATACATCACCAAGTAATCAGTTTACTTTCATTGATTAATAAGTCGTCAAACTATTTGTGCATAATTTGAAAGACAGAAATTCATTAGGTTAGATACAGATTACATCATGCCTTAAACAGACCTACTGAAGCCAAAGTGACATAAGTTAATCATGACAAAATTAAGTATTTTAGTATTCTCTCTCTCTCTCATATTTCTGCTCTACCCTAAGTGTAGCTATGACTGGATCAAGCCAAATTGCTAAGTTCACCATTGTGTTAAGCCACAATGTGATTTATTTGGGTTTGGTTTTGAACCCATCCACTGCAGTTTGTAAACAATGGTTTACAGGTTAGCACCTTGTTCAAGCAGAGTCAGTTTTTTTATTCAATAAAACATGGTTAGGCAGACCATGGCATAGCACAATGCTTGAGCCCAAGGTATTATTTAAATAAAGTTAAAGGACTCTCTTAATTAAGGAAGAAAGACAGGAGAATGGCAAAGAGCAGGACTGATATATCATGATGTCCATAAACTTGTAACTCCTAAGCAGATGTTGAACAAAAACATATACCTCATGAAGTGGAGCGCAAACAATGACAGATCCAGGGGTGCCGCTTGGACTGCACTCCTCTCGCTGTAAGAGTATCAAATCAAAGGACCTGGATTATGAAACTTCTACAGTTGTACATTGATCAAAATCAAACTACTCTGATATTTCTGTAATCATTTTAGCACTGAGAACATCACTATACAAACAGGAAGAGCAAATTATAAATTAAGCAAATCTTACAGCATGCAGGTAAAATGATCTGCATATTATTTTCACAGTGAACTGGACACTAAGGTACAGTTGGTAGATCTGCTATGTATCTTCTGCTCTTATCCTGAAACTGGCAGCCCTCAAATGAGGAAAATAAAGTAGAAATTAGTATAAGTCCCATCTGCTTCCCTCCAATCCCTTCATTTTTTGCTATCACAAATAGAGACTTTAGGAAAGCAGAAGAGGTTTGCTTTTATTGATAATTAAGGGGAAAAGTCTGATAGGTGTAACATGTTGCCTTTATATGTGGGGATCAATTCAAGGGGAGATACTAATAAAACAGCAATCTTCTGAGTGAAACCTGAGATTTTAGAGTGATCTGAGAATGCATCACATAAATAATCAATGTGTTGCCTTGGGCTATATATTTCACAACCCGCCTTACTGCTTAGCTAGAAGTTATGGGAGACACAGGGCTGTCACTGCCATATATTTCCCTTTCCTTCCTTGGAAGAGCTAAGTAAATCATGTATTTATAGCATGTGCTGGCTCATCTAAGTCTCATATTAAAGCCAGCATCACCTGCTGCATACAAACAATTGAAGGGAAAGATAAGCACCTACCACTGTCTGTTCATTTGTTTGGCTTTTTTTTCTTCTGGAAAGTAGGCAAAGGACCATTGGCAGAGGAAGAATGACTTGAAAAAGATAGAAAGGGATACTGCCCCTTGAATTATTCTCCCTCCCCAACCCCCCCCCCAAACATGGGCTAGGCCATGGAATCCCCTGCTCCCAAAAACATGATTATGCAGTGTTGGGAAGGATAACAGTGACAATGTCAGAATGCTATATGCTATGACACGCATAACTTTATAGAAGACAACATCTTCATAGAGTTCATGATTAATACTGGTAATGCAATGACTACTGGATTGGATGATGGTTGTTTTATTACTGTATGAGTATTCTATCTATTTTACATACATGTTCTACTGTATTAATGGATCTTTTCCATGAGCCACTCAGAGCTGGAACAATTGAATACATTGCTAATAAATTGCTAATAAATGAATCTATAATAAATAAATATAATGTATTCCTGTATTAATTTATTCTATATACTCTATAGGATTTTACATAGGCAAAGCCACAAATTTTTGATTGTAAAATATAACTATTCAAATGTATAAAAGCATATAATTAGTACCTGGGATTTTCTAACCTGAATATAGAGAAGGCCAGGGGTTAGCGTGGCTTTAAACAAAACAATCTAATATATGAAAGGCTGATTGATATATTTTAATCATAATAGCTGCCAATCCAGATGATGCCAGTCTAGGGACAGATTAAAAAAAAACCTGGTCCTAGGAGAGGTAAACAACAGGGGAATTTGAGCGCTGAGTTTTCTCTTCTTGTATGTTCCAAAAACAAATACATTTGGCTGGATGTTATTGGCTGGTGGAAAAATACATGGCTGAGAAGTGAAACAGGATGTTTTCTTAGATCAACATGATATCTTTCCACAGAACTTGTCTTATATTTTCAAGGAGTGAAAACACTGAACAATGGGTACATGTGAATAATTAAATCCCCATTTAAACTTTTCTGAACCTGGGGACTTCTGAATATATTAGCTGGAGCATGACAGAATAGCCAAATATATCTGGAGCATATATATGAAAAGCCACACTAGCTTTACATTTTGACCAGAGCCTTAAAAAAATCTGCACAATCTTGTGTCTTGCCCAGTCCTGATTTGCTGACTTCCTTGTAAAGGGACAGTGTGCTTTCTACATCGTCTTGCTAACGTCAATCCAATGATGGAATTCAGTGGGACCTACTGACAAAAAAGCATGGCTCCTATCAAAATAATTTATTCCTTTGAGTTGCATTATCTTCCATGGGTTCTTAGTCATATTAGAGTATGATTATAACCCCCAATTTTTATCAGCCCAGTTGGTCTTCCATGGTTCTTCCCATGGTCTGCTATCTAGAAATTGGGTTTGGTACTATTAGGTATGTTTTTCCTAGGTTGATTGGTCATGATGTGTCCAATAAAGTGCAGCTGAAAATAGAAAGACGTTATAATGGGTTTAGGTAAAAAACTCAACATCTGATGAAGGGTGGTGGTGATGGTAGGACAGACAAACTCATTTCCAAAGCAGACCAAGGCTCTTCTAATGCAGGCAAAGGAAGGCGTTACCCCTTTCCACTTGTACGTGTCAAATAAAGATCAGGGGAGAATATATTTTAGCCTGAAGTACAAAACAATTCTAGGCAAGTGAGTTGGATACAATATGCAGTAGTTGGCTGGTTCACAGCTGAAACTACTGTAGTTCACCCTATAGCCCCGATTCACTTGCCTAGAGCCAAAAGACACACATTCTTCTTTTTCACATCACAGAAGAAAGGAACCTTCTAATGCTATAAGGAAATACCCCTTTAATAATTTTTATTTGTTTTTAACCAATCTTCTAATTGTTAAAAATGAAATGTGTGCATTGAATTTGATAGTACTGTGGACAGTGTTCTAATAGCAGATTACTATTAGTATGAAATCAATGCTTTCTATTACTGTCAATTTTATGACTGACTGGTATAAAGCAAATAGTTTATTTTATGTAGAAATGTTAACTCTTTGACATTCTATGAATGTACATTTAATCAGTCAAAGTGAGGAACACATTACTTCTAGCTGACAAAAGAAAACAGAAAGAAGACCCAAAATGATAACAGTTTCTCACCTTTAGTGTTTGGTATTGATAAATGGAATCAGTGTCGATGAAATATGCAGATCCCTCCCCCCCTCTTTTTTGGAATGTCTGAGGGATATGGTTCTATGAAGAAATAATAATATAATAATAATAGTAATAAGTTAACTAATTAAAATATTAAACTTAATCATTAATAATCATATTTAGTTAAATAAAAAGGATAAACTGATGATTCTAAGGTTCCAACTGGGACTAAAACTTGTAACTCCAATAAAACATAAATACAAATAATAAATTATTGGTATCAGAAAGGAAAACCTATGGCCTTCTGGATGTTTTCAGACTCCAAACTTTATCTTTCATTCAGCCTTCTCCAATCTCTAGATATCTTCAAGATAGGCATGGCTACTGATGAGATTTCTGGGACTTGAAGTTCCCCCATCTAGAGGGTCTCATGTTTAGGGAAAGTTGCTTACTCTAAAGTAAGGAAATCAGCATAGATTCTCCACTCGATTAACATGGTCTCACTGGGAAAATGTTGTAGAACCAGTTTGATCTAGTGGTTAAGGCACAAGGCTAGAATCCATGAGACTGTGAGTTCTAGTCCTGCCTTAGGCATGAAAGCCAGCTGGGTGACTATGGACCAGTCACTCCCTCTCAGCCCAACTCACCTCACAGAGTTGTTGTTGTGGGGAAAATAGGAGGAGGAAGAAGTATTAGGTATGTTCGTCCCCTTGAGTTATTTATAAAAATAATAAAGGCGGGATAAAGAAAATCTAAAAAAAAAAAAGTTGCACCAATATTCTAGCTAATCACTAGCAGTTTCATAAGCCAATCCAAAATGGGGAAACCCAAATAATGGTGACTAGCTTGGATTCACCCCTGCTTTCTATAAGTTTTTTTTTTAAAGCCCGTTACTTTTTCATTATCATCTTAATCTGACAATAACCTTTTGCAGTCGGGTACTGTCTGCTGAAAACATGCCAGCAAGTGCTTTTAAGTCTATAGGGGATTCTATCTGTATCTTCTAGTTGCATCCTGATCCAGCTAGTTTTGCATAACATAATTATAGCTTGTTATTTCAGGGATTTCTATACAGTAGTCTGAAGAAAGTTATTTTGTTGCTGAAACATGACTGAATTATATTTAAATATTAGCAAGATAGGACTGCGTCTATTTTTCTTGTGATCTCACAGCATAAAAGACTTCTGCATGGGGAAACACTACCTCAGAATAACTTTTCTTCAAGTTATGTCCTGCAGTAAAAAAAAAATTCAAATGCATGAAGCACCTTATTTTATTTTTAAACTTCAAAACATTGCTATGCTTAAGAACGTATAACTGTCATAGCATTCTTTCATTAACTAGTTTCTTATTTACAAAAGGATTTTGTTGGCATGTCCTTCCTTCTTTCCATTTTGTGATTACAACTGGATGAGGATATCAGTATCAAACTGCTTTTCATTCCTCCTTTAAGCTACAATAAACAAGAGAGATGTAGCTCCGTAACAAAGTCCCAATTAAAAATTTCTGGAAGGGAGACTAACTCCTTGGGCTCTTGGACAGAAACTAGTCAGAATGGACTCCGGATTGAGTGTACGGATGCTTCATATAGAGCTTACTGGTGTCTGTGGGGATCTCTTCTATTATTTAGGAGAAAGGCACAAAAAAATTACCCTCAACTCCAGTCCTTTAAATGCTCCATTTAAATACAAGAAGTTCTTTTTTAAAACTATATGCACTTTTTGGAAAAATTCAGGATACCAAACATGATAGAATTTATTATTCATCAGCTGCATCGCAGTCACAGTGGAGATTTCTGACTGGTTGCCTTATTATTAGTTTAAGGAAAGCATGTTTCAGTTCACTGCTCCTGCCAAAGCTGATCTGTTTATCCTGCACATCAAATCTGTAAACTAAAAACTGAGGATTAAAACCAGGCTTTCAAAGTTGCAAGTACAACTCCAACTCTACCAGTCTCTAATAATTTCTGGAAAACTTGAAGAATTTATAGCTGTGCCCACAAATCAGATTAAAGTCAGGACATTTGGAATCAATCTGGTTTGTGGAGTTGTTGCTTACTACTTTTCCTACAGCTGGATACTTTAATTCTGTGTACGTTTACCCAAAATTAAATTATACTAGTTTCAACCAGACTTACACCTGGGTCACTGTGCAAAAACATCAGAGCTCTAGACTGCCATACTAACCCTATTTATCATGCAAACGTCCAACTGAACTCAGTGGGACTACTTTGGAATAAGTCCAAGATATTTCTAAGACAATCAGAGCCAAGGATGTGAGCTACTGTTTGTTCCTGAAACAAAATCTAAAATTGGATGTCCCAATCTAAGCATCTTCACAAAGGAAGAGAAAGCACTACTAATGGACACTACATTACATTAATCTTACTTACCACTCAACAAACTGTTCCTTGGCAAGTATCAGATTTGCAACATAGCCCTAATCCTCCCTCTCCAATCCAATTCCTCCTTTCTTTTGATATCGCTACCACATTGCAGGCATACGATACTATAGTGCATGTACTCTACATTTTGTCTTCTCTTCCAAGTATGAATGAGCACATGTGACAGGCCAAAATAGCTCTGCATTCACCAACATGAAACCACAGTGGCAAAATGATGGGGAAAAACCATGGGAAAGATAATGGGGGACTGATACTGAGGTGAAGACAAAAAGAGGAAGAAAGAAGGAAGCAGGAAGCAGGAACAGAAGGGAGAGAGCTTCTGTGATTAGGTGGGCAGAGATTGGTGCCTCTACAAAAAATAGTAAAAAGTTGTTGCACTGCCAGTTATTCTGGAAATTGTATTGCCAGTTACTCTCTCTTACCAAATGATGTAACTGGAATTGGATCTTCTCATGCTGTCTAAAGCATGGTGGCCCAACATGTGTACAGCTACGTGATACAGACAGTACACAGCACAAGTGGATCCACTTAATACCAGTGCAGGTTTTTAGATAATTTTTTCCCCAACTTTGGGACATATATTACTCTACATGAGTTGCACCACATGAAAGTCTGGATGAACTACTTTCTCTCTCTTGGGTTATTTATCTATGATGGACAATTTCTAACTGCAGTTACTACTTCTGAAAGACTTTTTTTCTATAACAGTGACAGTGGCTGTCCCATCCTAGAACACTAATGAAGAAGAGTCAAAACACTGCTCACCACTGGTTGTAATGGGGCACCAGGCATCATGGCATTGGCTAGTTGCATTTGTTGGGCCAGCATGGCCATGTTTTTCTGCTGAATCAGGTTATTGCGGCCATTGATCTCCAACTGTGTTTTTAAGTGTGGTGGTGGGTGAAGATATTTGCAGTTCTCCCTTGAACATCGTCCCTGAAATACAGGAAAGCAGAAGAAAAATGATTAGTTTTGTTTTGTTTTCTATGAGCCCATTTTGATACCACTTAGATGCATATAAAAAGACATCTCCTTATGTATATTTTAATTCTGCAGGCTTGTTTTAAGGATAGCTATGCACAATGAAACACAAATAATATAGATCTTTACTGGAAGTTGAACAATGCTAAAAAAAACCCTACATTGTGATACCGGTGAAAACTATACAGCCAGTTATTATTAGTTACTATTACAGTTTGTTTAATAGTAATAATGATAACAATTTTTTAATTTAGTGTGTGCTTATAACCAAGTGAAATACAGTTAAATCAATAAATAGCCCCCTAAATGTGGGAATAAAATATTTGCAGTTAGGGTTTTAAAGAAATGTTAATTATAATGTTTTTAAAGTTCAATAACATAGCTTTAAAAAAATTAAAAGGTCTGCAATTGGATTGTTCTCTGTAACAGGCACCCACCCCTTTCTAGAATCCCTGCTTCTTCTGTGGGGCTTCCAAATTTGGTACAAATTTCTCCAACTATTGGCAAAAGTCAGCCTTGGGGTGACTACAAATAATAATAGTTGGCATTCTATGTTGGCTGAAATACATAATAAGCACAACCCAGAAGTCCATGAAAAGTATCTAGATTAAATAAATGCAATGTAGCAGAGCCTACCCCACACTGACAACAAACTCAATGTTAACAGTTCTGCCAATGTGGGCACAGACAAACTAAGCTCGAGACCCCATTTAACTTGTGGATACCAGATGATCTAGGCATATATCCTGAAAACAGCAATCAGTCAACAAAATGATTGTTTCCAGTTATCATAGGTACATGTGCAACAATGATATCTATTTCCCCAGAGGCATACCAAAGACAAAGGCATTAAAGAAACCCAAATGTCTTCTTGGCTGAACAAACAACATAATCTGAATGATTCCAATTCCTTTCATTTCCTACAGCAATTAATCTAAAAAATAATGGTGGCTATGCTCTGCTCCTTTGGGGTTCAGGAAATCATTAAGCAAATAAATTCTTATACTGTCCTTTTGCATAGAAAACTACAACAGTTATATTTGTTGTTGCCCCAATGATCCAACCCGACACTCTTTTGTATCCAAATAAATTGTTCATTTCTCCCCATCTGGCTCTGCTCTTGCCAGACAAATATATTTGACTAGCCAGCTGTCATTTGCACAACAGGATCTCTGATCATGGGATTTTATATAATTCTTCTGATTTTGTTGAGGTAAATAATTCTAGTAGAACATGTGAATCCAACCAACTGTATCAATATGCTTTTCAAAACACTATGGAACCCTATATATTTGCTTGAAATAAAACAAAATAGGAAAGATATCCAACAACATCATGAAAAATCAAGAATACCTACTATATAATAAAATAGACTCTGATGTTCAAGTAAAGATTATTGTTCACAGTAAATAGAGTTTTCAATTAAGGAAGTAAAGTATATTAGATAATTATATAAATGGATTAGTGCATGCCATGTATAAAGGTTCATATATATTGACTATTGGAAAACAAGGAATTTCTGTAAGGGATCTGTAACAGCCTTCTTCAACTTCATGCCCTACACAGAAGCTGGGAGTGGATATAGTTCCTGAAATGCCTAAACAACACAATCAATGGTACCAAGCTTGGGATGGCTGCATTGCCACACGCACGTGTAACGTTTAAGCCTCCATGTGGTTCCCTTGCATCTATTTTACAGCCTGCCCAGCCTCTTTTGTCTACACCATTAAATTTCAACAGCATCATGGTCAAACTCAGCAGCTGTTTTCTGCTACTTTGAAGTGGGAAATATGGGAGGGAGGGAGGGAGACCCCTAATAAAAGAAATGCCAGCCTCACTCATGAGTATGATTGCAATCTCTGGTCATCCACTATAACTCTCACTCCACGTTATCTAAAAATGAGTATTAAACTCCTCCAGACACCAAAAATTCATCTATCCCTGCATTATAATATGGAGAAAAGAATGTGATAAGGCATTATTACAGAATCAAAATTATAAAAGCTAATGGCTTGTAGATAGTTTCTGAGTAAAATGTTCAAGGTCTAGATTGTTGTTGTTTTTTAAAAACTAGGATCCACACAATGGGTTCCATGGAACTGAAGAGAAAAGAAAACTCTTGGCAAGGGGCTACACTTCCCCCCCCCCCTTAGTCACTAAGGAACAGCAAAAGCACAGGAGGGCTTGCATGCTGACATTCAGAAGCCCTGCCCCTCTTGATCAGGAGTTCCGGAAATTTATTTTTAATGAACAGGTTCTGCAGCCTGAAAAAATTTGAAAACCTCTGGTGTAGTTTACCCCACTTCCTATCACATCAGCACTGAGAGGTTAGATATTAACACAGCCATTATGCAACCCTATATATATATGTTTTTGTTGCAATATGTCCTAAGAGATTAAGCATAGTTTCCCTACCAGATTAATTTAGGTATACAAGTAAACCCAGTCACTCAAACACAGACACACATTTACACAAGTTTAAGTTTAATATATTAAGTTACCATGTTCTGCCTCGTATAAATAATTATTCAGAACTGTGGTCTTTTACTATTCTTTTTTTAAAAAAAGACCTCATTTTTCCCCCAATGAGAATTATTAATCTATTTAAACCCAGAAATGTATCTTCCCTAGAATACATTCTCTTTGGCATAAAATCTATACATTTCTTGCACTGACTTTCTACTATCAATACATGATGGTCTATTAGCAAAATATGACAGCATAAATTTGATAAAGTTGAGCATAAAAAGGCTTTATACACTACAAACTATAAACTACAGTATTCTTTCGGGAAGAAACCCTAGTGAAACCCTAGATGAAAAAGAATTGGTGGCAGTGATTCTATTCTCTTTTTCTGTAAGATACAGCGATGTTACATTGGAGCTTCCTAAAGAAAAAGACAACACTGATTATCTGTATTATTGGTATTTGTCCTTTATATAATTTGTCAAGCTCTACTTTTATTTGGAAGATCAATTTATGTTCTGAACACTTTGCTTGTTCTTAAGAAGAAGTATGGGCAGAGAGAAAACTCTTAAAGATATGGCAGCCTTCCCCAACTTCCAGATATGTTTGGGCTACAACTCTAAAATTTCCAGAAAACAATGGACAGTGAAAAGGAATTATAGAAGTAGTGATCCAAAACATCTGGAAAACACCCAATAATGAAATCAATTAATTTAATTAAATAACTAAAATAGATAAAACAAATAATTGAAATCAAGGGAAAGTTGGCAGATGGTTAATACTTTAAAATAGATAAGATTAAAAATGAAATAGAGAGGCTTGAAACATGGGCAGAAATGGATAGGATGGAATTTAACAGGGAGGAACATAACGTTCTGCATCTAGATAGAAAAACTGAAAGGTACAAGTATAGCATGGAAGAGACCTGGCTTGGCAGCAGTACATGTGAAAAGGATCTGGGAGTCCTTGTCCACCACAAGTTAAACATTAGTCAGCAGTGTTCTACATATCATGGCAAATAATTGTTCAACTCATCTCTGCCCTAATCAGATCCCACTTAGAATACTGTGTCCAGTTTTGGGCACCAGAGTATACAAGGACAAACTCAGAGGAAGGCTACCAAGATGATGAAGAGCCTAAAAACCAAGCTCTATGAGGAATGATTAAAGGGTCATAAGAGATGACTGAGGGGAGATATAATAGCAGTTTTCAAATATCTGAAAGACTGGAAGGAAGAAAAAGAACTGGACTTATTCTCTATTGCTCCAGAGGGCAGGAATATAGCTAATGGGTTTAAAAGTACAAGGAAGTAGGTTTAAGATAGATACTAGCTGAACCTTCCTGACTGAACAAGCTATCATCCAGTAGAACAGGCTGCCATACAAAGTGACCAGTTTTCCACAATTGGGGATATTCAGATAGAAGCTGGATAGTCATCTGTCAGAGATGCTCTAGTGGATCCTGCACTGAGCAGGAGGTTTGGATAAATGACCTGTAAAATATCTTCCAACCCTGTGAGTCTAATGTAGTAATAGCTATCTTAAGTCCTATGAGTTTAGCTGCATAATGCTCTAAAACCAGTTCTAGTGACACTATCCAAACAAAGTGAAGCATTTTTCACAAATATCTATCTATCTATCTATCTATCTATCTATCTATCTATCTATCTATCTATCTATCTATCTATCTGTCTGGAAATAAATACCACTGAATTTACTGAATCTTATTCTGAACAGATAGGTATGGAGTTGCGCTCTTATTCTACATTCTTTCAATGCTGTATTCTCTGAAATGTAAATGTTGAATTTTTTTCTAACTAAAATCAGAGTTTTAACTTCACTAAGCATTTTAAAAAAATGATCTTCAGAATATAATGTAGACATACTATTTATTAGTTTTAGGACTATCTCTATCATAGATTAGTAATACAATCGCCTTGGTGTCCTCAGAACAACTGTACATTTAACAGTTCAGTAGCAGTACAAAATAAGTCAAAAAGTAAGAAGAAAAAATTTGGCAGCAAGATTTTATGACCTGAATTAGATCAGATAATTTTGGCAAATACAGAAGAGATAACAAATAGCATTTATAGATTGTTGCAGAAGCTTGTTCCTTTTCTTATCTTAACCTATAACTACAAATCATCTGTCAGCCTTTCAGCAATTTAAGTTTTCAGTGCAAAAGACCTAAAAGCAATATCACAGATATCAACATTTGGCTATAGACTCTTTTAAGAATAATGGTTTCTGTGAATATATATAAGTAGTCCTTGACTTATAATGCCAATTGGGACTGGAATTTCCACTGTAAAGCGCAACCGTATCGCCTAGCAATGGCAATTCCTGCAGTCACGGCTGCTGTCATTAACCAAACCCCACAGTCGTTAGGTGAGGCAACTTGTTGCTGACTTCCCACAACCAAGTCAGTGTCTCCAGGCAGCTTGCAAGCAGGCCGGCAGGCAGGTATGTGGCTGCTGCTGGGTGGAAAAG